TCCCATGCTCAGCCCCTCCCTGCTTCCGGACCTGCCAGTGGGGGCTCCCCACCACTCAGACCTCCCCCGGGGGTTCCAGATCCACATTTCCCAACAGCTTACCTCCTTGCCACTCAACGTGTGGCCCGGGGCCTGAAGCATGGCCGTCCCTGGGAGCTTGTTAGAAGCACAGGCTGCCAGGCCCAGACTTCCTGGACCAAAACCCACTCTAAGAGATCCAGGGGGTCACACCATGCTAACCCAGGAGCATTAGGCACCTGGCCCCAGGGCTCCCCACCGCAGCTGAGGCTCCCTGGCCACCCTGAAGCCAGAGCCTCCTCCACACCATGAATCTCTTCTTTTTTCCATTTCAGGGAGCAGCTTGTGTCTAGTGGATGGGGAGGGGTGTGCGGGGGGGAGGGATAGTATCCCCACCATGTGGTTGCTTCACCTTATAATAGGCCTCAAAAGTCTGACGCTGGTCTCCGGGTCGGGACCCTGGGAAGGCATGCTCCATGTGGGAGCCAGCCTAGAGGCCCCTCCGACCCTCGTGTGAGTCTCACCGTGACCTTTCCCTGCTGCCACCCCTGCTCTCAGTGCTGCCCCAGCCTGTGGTGTCCCGTCCGAGCCTGGGGCCTCCTGTTAGGAGAGCTCAAGTCCCAGGCCGGACGCCTCTCCCCTCATTGGGCAGGTGCCTTCAGGGCCCGGAGAGGCCCCTCAGACGGGAGCCAACCTAGACGGCAGGGCCAGGACAGAGGCCCCTCCGACCCTCCTGTGAGTCTCCCCGTGCCCTTTCCCTGCTGCCGCCCCTGCTCTCAGTGCTGCCCCAGCCTGCGGTGTCCCGTCCGAGCCTGGGGCCTCCTGGAGAGCTCGAGTCCCAGGCCGGACGCCTCTCCCCTCATTGGGCAGGTGCCTTCAGGGCCCGGAGAGGCCCCTCAGAAAGCGCAGTGTAGCTGGCGCTTGAGGCTGCAAGCTCAGTTCTTGCAGGTGACATGGTGGTTCCTTGGGTGACAGTCGGTGCGATTCCTCGCTTCCCGTGCTGGGAAGCTGCTGGGACACACACTGTATTGGACAGAATTCTCTGCTGCCAGCTGACTAGCTGGAATAAAACCAGGGATTGGAGAATAGGAAAATGGGGGCATTTATTGATGCAAGAGAAGATCTGCAGGGAGGAGAAGAGTCTGGGGCTCGGAGGCTGAGAGCCGGATCTAGTGTCCAGGACCTCTCCCTGCTTCTCTCTCAGCGTCTCCTTCATTCTCCCAGGCTTCTCGCTTGGTAGGACATTGCTGTGGGCAGATATGATGTGTGACATCCCAGCGCTTAGCTGCACGGTGGGAGACAGCTTCTCTCTCCCAAGGACCTGCTAGCCAGGCTGCCTCCGGCGTGCTCTGGACCGATCGTGGCCCAGCTTAGGTTGTAGACGTGCATATCAGGGCTGGTGGTGAACAGGCCATGGACAGCCACAAAGAGCATCAGCTGTGCTCGTATCACAGTGAGCACTGGGGCTATGGGTGTGTAGGATGACCCAGATGCCTGCGCACTGAAAAGACAGTGTCCCGTGTCGCTGTCATTCCAACAAGTGCCAGGAGTGCATAGGTCTGGCTGTTGCTTACCCTGTGAGCTGGGAGTCATGAAGCTTTAAGGAAGCAGTGATCCTGTGCATATCAGGGCTGGTGGTGAACAAGGCCATGGACAGCCCCAAAGAGCATCAGCTGTGCTTGTATCACAGTGAGCACTGGGGCTATGGGTGTGTGGGATGACCCAGATGCCTGTGCACTGAAAAGACAGTGTCCCGTGTCGCTGTCATTCCAAGTGCCAGGAGTGCATAGGTCTGGCTGTTGCTTACCCTGTGAGCTAGGAGTCATGAAGCTTTAAGGAAGCAGTGATCCTAAAGAAACCCCAACCCTTTCCCACCACAGCTGCTTTAGTTCAGGCTTGGGGATGCCTCTTCTCACCTCCTTACTTCCCACGATGACTCCTGGCCACGCATGGCCCAGGCCAAAACTCCCCACCGAGCCTGAGCGTACCCACTCTGCCTGCAAGAACCACTGCGTTCTGAGCAATAGGCTCTTATTTGTTCTAACTTCGCTGAAACGTGCAAGCAACTGTGCATGTTGCACACTTCTTAAGTACAGTTGTTCCCATAGATGCCTTACAGTGAAAACAAGTCCAAGAACTCTCCCTAATTTCCATTTGCATGACGTTTCTTCTTGTGTGTCCTAGGAAATGTCCGTGCATGTTTGGTGGCATATTTGGTAGCGAATGAATGGGTAGACCCACTTTGTAAGTTTCCTGTGACAGTAACGTCAAGATCTTTCCCCCCAAAGGAGCACATCATGCATTGCTCCCCGTCGGACAGAGCGTGCATGGAGTCTGGAGGTCAGAGCAGGACAAACTCTGGTGGAAGTGGCTCCCCCACTCCCTCGGGAAGCACGGTCAGTAGGGGCCGTGGTCCCGCAGCTTCCTCCGTCCTCCTCCAGCAGGTCCCCTCGCACACCTTACTGTGCATTTGTGAGGCTGTGATGAGATTTGGAGAAAGAGCCTGAATTTAATGTATCCCAATGACTTGTTAGACCAACTTGCAGCTACCAGCTCTGAAAAGCTGCTCTTCTCAGCGGAATGAATTCATTTCCATGTGTGATGGCCCTAAGCTCCCCAGGATTTGAGGGGTTGCTTTGGGGTGATTTAAGTTCAATCCAGTCCTAAAGGGGCCTGGGTCTTCCTCCCCCATTGCCGCTCCCACCATCTACTCTCTACATGCCCCACTCTCCACAACACTTGGCACCCCAGGGCCCACTGGCCCATATGGCTCTTTGTGCAAATTAGGAAATCCCTTATTTCCTCAAAACTTCAAGTCCCCACGTCCTGCTGCTTCTCTGCTGTAGAACATA